TAGTTATTGGCCCTCTAACTGCCCGAGTCGTGTAATAAAAAACAGTACATTCATGATAAGGTGTCCATGTTAATGGTTATGGGATTTAACTGTTGATACCTCAACTCTTTGATAACATTTAATTTCCTTCCAGGTAATGGACAATTCTCTGTGTCCAAGGGGGCCATCTTCAAACTGAATGTTCTTGATTACTATATTACCATCCTAAAAAAAAAAATTTTAAATCAAATTAATCATATAGTATCACATAAAATAAAGGACAAAAGTCATAAGCAGAATACAATGCTCAGGACTCTTATTGATAACATATTGCTTTCAAAAACATGACAGGACCCCCCTGAGCCTTATAATTAAAGGTTTCTGTCTGTCTTTCAACAGCTTGGATTGGAATAAGTGATAAACAATTAATAATTATATAGATTATGATAAAAGCCAACTGACACTTACTGCAATGAATCCCAATTGCACATCCCTTTCTTTTAAACCATCCGAAGAAACATGAAACTCAGGTAACACACTGTTTGGTAACTACAAATAAATGTTTAATGAAATGTTAATAAATTTTACTTTGTAAGTGAACATATTTTTTGAAATGATGAATGTTCTAACATGTACATCAAGAAGGGTATCTCACAATGTGGGTCACGTGTTGAAATCAGATCACATCATCTGATGTGACTGAAATGTTGATCACTTCACTGGTCCATTATTAGATCTTCTCAAAACACACAACTGAAGGAACTAAAGCATGCCAGTAGAGGTGGGTTTGAGTTGCCTTTGCTGAGATCTTCTCACCTTGCCAGTTTTGTTGCCATGTTTGTCAGTTGCTGACAGGATTATATCAGATGATAACGGTTCTCCTAATCTGAGGCGTGGCTCGTCACATGAGCACTTGAGGATGCTTGGTACATCAGCCAAAGGTCTGAGAAAACATAACCAAAAATAACACCTATTTATTATTTAAACACGACCAACATGTTTCCAATGGTTTGCTCCTTCCTTTAATTTGGTGAAGAGAACACTGAAGTTAGATCTTCTTCACTTTAGCAACAAGAAAACATTCCCATAACATAATGCATGGCTGGCAAACTTTAAAACCTGCTTACTTAATTGTGAAAGAAAATTCAAGTCCTACTCCACCAGTCATGCTCACTTGGCAATACTTTGGTTCATCACAAGAAAACGGTGCCTGTTACAGAACAGAAAGAACACAATGAATTGTACTAAAGGGTTCCACTAACTGAAAAAATCATAATTAATTGCTCTTAGTCAAGTTAGGACACCTTAACATCTGGAAGAATTCCTTGTTTGATGAGATCTTTGGAGACTTTGGGGGTCCAGTTCACCTATATATATATGAAATGATTCAGATTCAATATCATGACAAAAACACACGTATTCCTCCAATTAAAATCTACCCATCATCACCCAGCCATTTTTTCCCACCTACCTTGAACCTGCTTGCTAATGAGTAGTCAATGGTAACTTCTCTCTGGCCTTCATCCAGAATTCTAAAACCTGTCAATGTGTTCAGAAGATTATGAATCACAGGCTTTGTAAAATAAAATGCTTGCCACAGGACTTTGTACTCATTTCAGCTGTAGTTGTTATCAGGCTCTAGTCTTTCTGCCAGATGAAGTTACTAATTAAAGAAATGTTCTACATGTAGCTGCCTTCCACTCTTTCAACCTGGCAAAACTTTCTGCAGAGCACATTTTGCATAATTAATGACTGAAATTTAGTATAATGTAAAGCCAATAAGATCCTATTACATAGACACAGTCACATACAATAGGGTTCACTCAACAAAAAATGATCAAGCAGACAGATTGAGTACGTACTTAATCCAGTCAACATATATCCTACTACACATGGCAACTCCTGTCCATCTTCTATTTTTTTCCTCTGTCTGCCAACCACTGGTTGGTGAAAAACTTCCAGTTTTGCCGCTTTACTGCTGGGTATCACTACAACATTCCTTTCCAAAGCAGGCACTTCCTTTTGATGCTGGTGATATGCAGATATTAAAACTGGTTTAAGTATAATTGTGGTGTAGTTGATTCAAAGAGACTGAAATGCAACATTCTAACAAACCTGTAGTTCAATCTTGGCTTTGAGTTTTGTGCTTTTGGTGATTTGCTTCAGACTGATATCAGGACCTGATAAAGTTACTTTCCCTGAAGAGCTACAGTCTCCAATGTATGTTGGTAGACCTGGTGTGCCTGTGAGCTGAAACAGAGGTTGTGAAATGCAATTTAGTCCTTCCTTTATTTGTGTATTGGAAACTTCAAGACAATCCCAGTGAGCTTCTGCTGTCAAAAACCCTCATCAGTTCACCCCAGATACATAATGAAGATCACAGTTCACCCCAGATACATAATGAAGATCACAGTTCTCTAGACATTGTTGGCAAAGCAAACATGAAGATTATATTAAAACATAAAAAGAATATTTAAACAACAACAAATCATCCATGTTCAAGCACTAACTCACATGCCAAGGGATCACCAAATAGCGAAAATAAAGCTTGACATTATCAACAACCAAAATAGACCCTCACCTCCTTGAGGCACTAAAGTTTAGAAAACTTGAGCCCAAAATCAACTCCAGGGAGGAGTGTACCAAACTCGAAGACCTTTTATTCTGACCATATTATTTACCCTGACTATATATATTTTATCTTCTACATAGACATTTTGTTCCAACTATTTCTACTGTATTTACATTACTGCCATTGTCCTGTCCTATTGTCTGCTGAACCTCTGTTATCTAGCCTAACAACTTGCCTGATAAACTCCTCCCTTCAAAGATTCCACCTACATTCCCTGATGATGCCGTATATCAGCGAAAGCTCGGAAAACTAAATTATCGTAGCATACCTTTACATGTCTGACTACATAACAAGTGGTTTGTTTAAATAGTACCTTGCAGACAACATTAAGTCTGGGCTGAACTGTAAGGTTGCCAGCTTTATCTTGGACTTGCACTTGTAACTGAAGTGAGCTGTTGTTTTCAACTGTGATGTCATCACTGTCAGGGGTAACTACTAATGATTCAGGAGGACCTGTGTGACATATAACTCTCTGGTCAGCTACAATCTGATATAGTCACTGTGTTAAAATAACAGAGTACTTAAGAGGTCAAATTAATAACCATGATCTCAGTTTTATGGAATTTTTTTTTCAGCAGTCAATCTCATTTGTGCCCTCTCATATGGAACATTAGGGACTTTAAGCAAATCATGACAGCTACGGCAACGAGAACGTGGAAAAACAATAGATCTAATTGGCAGAACAATAGCTCAGCATGTGCGTTTTAAAACTTTGTACATTTCTTAGCCGTCCTTTGCAAAACAACAACGTGAAATCACCAAAACTTGCGTCATCTGCGAAGCGAAACCGCGGCGGCAAATTATTTTAATTTACATTTGGAACTCAATGCTACTTTTATGCGTTATGTTGAGTTTGAGGTCTGGGGCCCTATGAGACGGTAAACACATGCAGCCATTTTCGAAATTCTAACTAAAAGTTGAAACTGATTTTTTAACTTAAGTCTTCCGTGGTGTTGCCATCCTGACTGCTTAAAGTCCCCATTAAACCTCCACTGCAGCTGCCATCATAGAGTTCATGAGTAATTTGTCGGTCACTGTTTTACAACAGTCCCAAGCTGTTTTCAACAATTATATTTGAGCACCTTACCACCCCACCTTCCGTGGTTTTTTTCTTTCCATAGATCTGATTAGTGTTGACTATAGCCTTGGCATTCTATCTCGGGATGGCTGGCCACAGTCAAAGCCCATAAACACAACAGGCACTCAACTTCCATTTAAGGTAGATAGCAGTTGACTGCTGAGGTTAATAAATATCATAACTGACCACAACTTGGCTCTGACTATCATAGGCCATTACCTAATTCAATTGTATCACACATTTATCATCAGACTTCTCATCCACCAAACATTTATTCACCTGGTAGTAACCTAATCTTCAAGCTCTGTGAACCTTCCTCAAGACCTGGCAGGGTAATCTTTAGATTGAAGTCCTTTGTCAGCAATAAAAAAAAAAAAAAATTCTATTTAGTTACTGGTTATTAAATTATTATTTGGTTGGCCAGACAGCATTTTACAGCTCAACCATAATTCAGGATTACATAATTATATAATTATGCATCAGTGAAAGCATTCAATTGTGAGGTGCTTTTCTGATACATCAACTGATGCAATAAAAAAGTCAACCACCCCTGACCTTGCCTGCATGTGATGGAACAGAGCCCAGAGCAATTACACCCTTGACAATCAGTCTGTTTCCTTTCACTGATGTTCCTTGATGGGCAAGTTCCAGACCACTGCAGAACAAACAATATTCTGTTTTAATTACTACATTACCTATGGTCTGGAGAAGACTGTGGATCAGGGCTCGAAATTATTGGTAACCCGTTAACCAATGGTTAGTAATTTTCAACCTTAGGTTACTAAAAATGTGTCCAACTAACCCAACATGGTTAGTAAATTTTTCTAACATATTTAAACATTGGTAGACCTCAGGAAAAAGAGCACATAGACCTGCCTCTCAGAGGAATACTTACAGAATCCTCAAGTTGTTTAATCAACATAAACTCTTTTAAGAAAATGTGCTGTAGATGTACTGTTCTTGACTAATCATGGTAAAGGAGAGGGAAATAAAAAAGGCGCATAATTGTCAATGTTTTTAAGGTCACCATCCAATTTCAGCTACTCTTTAATTTGTCCTAGTCGTTATTATCAAAGTGTTTAATATTTGAGATATCTTACCTTGTAAGCTTGCATACCAAACTTGATAATTTGGTTAGTAAAAAAGATGTCTACTAACCCAAAGGGTTAGTGATCCAAAAATTAATATCGAGCGCTGTGGATAACTTAACCAGTCCTTTTTTTTAATCCAAAAGCTAGCCCCTGGGTAATGAGCCCATGCAGACAGGAAAAATATCAGTATACTATCAATGAATTGATTCTCATAATCTAAACCAGCTGAGAATAAGCCTTAGCTACAAGGAACAATATGTTGTATTTTCTCTCAGAACTGAAGACACTACTGAGATCTAGCAAGTGGTTGGAGTTCAGTAAGAGGGGACAGGGTTCTTGTCAGAATAAAGGTTAATCTTTTGTGGGGCTCCAAATTAAACTTTTTTCAACAATGCCAAATGATGACCTTAAATTGAAAAATAGACTCAATACAACAAAACATCATGAACTGAGTCACTGGCCACATGGTTTGTCTTTGGACTGAGCAGTATGAGTGGCATTTCATTTGGAGACTTGCACAACTTCTCAAGGCCTTACCATTGGAAAACCAAGGAGGAATGGGCAAATTGTTAATAAACATGAAACTGTTTACCTCGCCTTAACTTCAGACCACATTAAGGAAGTTACCAAGACATGTTAACTCACCACATGACTGCCAAACAGAGGTTGTTACATTGGAAACTTATTCTACACCACAAATTTAGTCACCAGATTTTTCCCAATCACCCCTTTCTACCACAATAGTCATAGCTTTGAGCACTATTGTATTTTAACGAAAAGTTGCCATGCAGAGGTTCTTACCTTGCATTTAAAATGGGAGACATCTCCTCTGCTAATTTTGAGGGGTTGTTAAATTCATCCAGCAAATTGAGGGGAATCTTTAGTGAAGGTTAATAGGAAAAAAGTACAAAGAAACAGGTTACAACTGCCACATCGATATTTCCATTATAATTATCCTTGAATAAATGCATAATTCATCACACAGTTGTGTGCCAGTTCAGTTTCACTCTAAAATGTTTCACTACCTGGAAAGGCACTCCAACTCTGAGAGGCGTCTCCAACATTCCAACTGTAAATTTATTTGGGTGGGCCTCTAAAAAAACACAATATTTACAAGAAAAAGAACCAGGTTAGTAACAGAAATTCTGGTATAGCAAGGCTGGAAAGGCAATGCTAATAAGAAGGAGAGAATAACTACAAGCAATAAGTTATCTCAAATAGTGCTTTTGTTATTCTACTACAACAAGGGAAACACCCAAAACAAGTTGCTTGACAGATATTCCGCTGGCCTAAGCAGTAGTTTATTGGTATTGCTGACACTGCAATTCACAAATGACATTAACAGACAAATATTATAACCAGTAACAACCTAATAAACACACTCTTAAACATGCCTTTGTTAAGGTCAAGACTGCAATCAGACAGAAGTGACCATTTTCAAGCAGTTAGAAATATTTCTCAAATTCATAAAGTTGTGGCAAAACTCAATTGCTTTTATCTTTAAATTCAAAAGCAGGTCACAATGCTGCACTCTTAGAAAAAGTGAAAGGAGCCCAGTGTTCTGAAATTTTGAAATCTATGCTTGTCATGAAGAAGCTAAGGTTCCCTAGTCACCGAAGAGAAAAAGTAAGGAGCCAGAGGACAGCAGGTGCTGCTATAGCACAGCTGTGGGTCAGCTCTAATATCTTCTAGTTCAAGCCTGACAGTGACAAAGGAAGGAGTTTTTAGACTCCTAGGTTCAAAGGTTAACCACTTTGTTATGCTGTAATTCAGGTTAGAGAGCAGGAAGCCTTAGGAACAACACTTTTCACCTGTAACAGTGAACTTGATGCGGTGACAAGGAAGACTCTTGATTGAAGAACCAGCTGAAGTGTCACCCAACAACACTTGAAGTTGGAGAGTATGAGGACCTAAGTGTGTAATATTCTCTGCAAGAGAAAGTAAAAATATTTGAATATTTCAGTAACTTCTAATAATGTTATCACATATCTTGAGATTCTGTACACAAGAATCAATGATTGAGATCAATAGATGTTTGTACCCATTTTTCTGAACCAGTAAGGCCAGTTCTTTCCTCCATGTTGACAGACATGGTTGGTTATCACTTTATCACCATCTTTGTCATTACCTAAGGGTCAAAGGAAGATTTTGTGAGTGATAATTAAAACAAAAGTGATGCCTCGTTCATGTATTTTAGCATTCCTTGCAAAATGGCTACCACCAGTACAATTGAACATAAAAAGGGGCAGACTAGAAGGCCCAAAACATCTCCTAGGGAGATGAGAGAGAGTTGGCAAGTAAAAACCAGGGGGTAGATGGCTTACAGCCCATTGTTTCCCCCAAGCCAGAGACAAGGGGAACTAACTCTATTTGAAATGTACCAGGCACCTTGCTCTCAGTTTCCTCCTCACAGAACCATACCAGTGTTACGGAAATTACTTGATTGTCCATCTGTGGCTTACCAAACAGTAGATCTCTTTTTGGACTTTGCAAGACAAAGCTTAAGCTGTAATGTTTCACAATTAGGCAGTTACACGGCATAAAGTTACATACCATGCCAGATAACCTTTAATTCAACCAACAATCTTCTTCTGTCACCAGGAAGTTTGTTGACTGATTCTCCTTTGCCACTGAGAATATCAACCCTCATAGCACCTGTCCAAATGATGACAACAAAGGGTTTTAAAAATCTATCGTTACCGTTAGTAACAACTACAGTTGTCCAACTGAGGTGGATGAGGCTTGAGGCTCCTCTCTTGGTGACTGAACATTTTCAAGAATTAAAAAAGAAGAAAAGTAAAAATATTTAAATGGTAATATAATAATTTAGATGAGAAAAGATTGGTTAAAAGTGATTTTGTAAAAAGACAAAATGTACTGTTACAAACACCATATGACCACTATCTCTACCGTCAAAAAATTATATGAAATCATGATATTCCCTCCGTTTTGAGATCGTAAGTTAACTAGTTTTCCTTGTCTTCAAATGTTTTTCAAATGTGACTTCATAGGGTGGCCATTTTTAATCTTGCTTAGCAACCTGGCTGATTCATATTACAAAAGAAACTCGCTCCTTTTTTTTACCTGCTCTTGGTGAACTGTTTAACCAATTAGAGGATACAGAAAATGCACTCTTGATACAAATGATGTTTTCAAGGGATAACCAAAGAAACAGCTGTTAGTGAACTGCACATTACAGTTTTGTGTACATAGTCAACTTGCCAGTAAGTAGTTTAAAGAATGGCAGTCTCCAGAATCATACTTTTTGCACAAATTTAAAACAAATTGTCAACACTTAGGGGACTTTGGAGTCTCAAACCTCAGAAAGAACACTCTTCATACCTTTGGTGATTCACTCTGTTATCAGAACAATATTCATACCTATGGTGGTTCATGGCTTACTGTAGTTTGCGAAACAAAATGAAACGAAATGAAAAATCTGTAGTTTGCAAAATGAAATGGAAAATCTGTAGTTTGCAAAATGGAAAATCTGTAGTTTGTGAAAAGGAAAATCTGTAGTTTGCGAAATGGAAAATCTGTAGTTTGCGAAATGAAATTTCCTGGTCAAAATTAAAGTAAGGTGGGAGATTATCCTGGTGATGACCTTTGCATACATTTGCTACACAGGAGACCCTTGCGTTACATTTTCTAACAGGTCAGGCGAGTCTAACTTTTGGTCGAGCCATCAAGGGTCAAGGGTCTTATGTCGAAGTTGAGGGTCCCTTTTTTTGTTTTTCTTTTAATTTCGCAGCCCATGTTCCTAGTCGAGGGTCCCTTTCTTCTTTTTCTTGGCAATAGAAAATACAAGTCATCGCATTGCGTGAGACCAGATGTTGACATTGTTACAAAATCAAGGCAAACTAGTTCTGACTCGAGTTGAAATGCGATCTTGAACGTCATGTCCACTGTCTGCGTCCTGGTTCATTGGCTGACAACATCGACCTGTCGTGCTATATGAGCCAAGAAACGAAATGGAAAATCTGTACTTTGCGAAATAAGAATCTGTAGTTTGCCAAAGGACTTTATTGCTGCGTCTACTAAACAACGCCAGGTAAGAGTGCCTGGGTAATGCGTGAAAAGCTATTGGGGGGAGGGGTGGGGAGATTTCAAAATGTGGGAATCTTTTTCGTTACCATTTCTCGTATGAATTTTTTTGGCCATAGCATGGATATGTTTCAGGGTTAATTGGTGAGCATGGAATTTTTTTTTTAAATCAATTTTCCCATTTGTGAATATTTTTTTTGTACTTTGCTCGCCCTCACCCCTTAAGAGAACTAGTTTGCCTTGATTTCATAACAACGTCAACATCCGGTCTCACGCAATGCAATGACTTGTATTTTCTATTGCCCAGAAAAAGAAAAAAGGAACCCTCAACTAGGAACATGGGCTGTGAAAAAGAAAAACAAAAAAAGGGACCCTCGACCTCAACACAAGACCCTTGACCCTTGATGGCTCGACCAAAAGTTAGACTCGCCTGACCTGTTAGAAAATGTAACGCAAGGGTCTCCTACGTAACAAATGTATGCAAAGGTCATCGCCAGGATAATCTCCCACCATAATTTAATTTTGACCAGGAAATTTCATTTTGCAAACTACAGATTTTCCACTTTGCAAACTAGATTTTCCATTTCACAAACTACAGATTTTCCATTTCGTTTCACAAACTACAGATTTTTCATTTTGTTTAGTTTCGCAAACTACAGTAAGCCGTGGTTCATTCGGTTATCAGTGAGAACAATAGTTGTACCTATGGTGGTTCACTCTGTTATCAGAACACTATTCATGCCGAGGGGGGCATTGGGGCCTCTGGGAAACTGCAAAACCGGAGAAAAAACCCTCCAAAACCGAAAAACCAACGAAAAAAGGAAGCAAAACCAAAAACCGCATGCAAGCTTGACAAAACCGCTACATTTTCACCTTTAAAAAGATCAAAGAGGAAAAACCGAAAACCACATCAGAGTTTTCATGAAAACTAAAACCGAATGCAAAAACACATAAAATCCACAAACTACTCTGAACATCAAAACCGAAAAACCAAACCTTTTTGGCCCAAAAACCGAAAAACTGATCCAAAAAAAAACAGTCAAACCTGCAAAACCGAAAATCTCAAAGCCCCTATCCATGCTTATGGTGATTCATTCTGTTATCAAAACAATATTCATACCTATGGTGGTTCCAGCTGGTATCTTAGAGTTAGGTTCTAGTTTGTCACTCTCCGGCCACTCTAAAACCAGTTTACTTGGTAACCTTAAATGTAAAATTTTGTCAATTTCCTGCAAAGTTTTGTACTAACCTACTCAAGAAATGATTTTGAAATTGACAAAGCTGAACAACAAAGAGTTCCTTGTTAATAGATTAAGTCAAAATTACTTCAGATGAGGAGCCTTGGGTGAATATTGATACCTTGGTTTACATCCCTTCCCTTTGATCTAGGTGCTACAGAGTATTTAACTTGTCCAGCACTATTTTTGATCTGCCAACTGTGGATAACCCAGCAAAGATGCAATAGCACTACAAGTTTTTTTTCCAAGAGTGGGGGGGGGCAGCCATCAGAGACTAGGTTCAAATAAAGCAGTTTCCTACTGAAAATAGCAATATGAGTCTCAGATTTTGGATACAAAAAAAATATTGAACATCACTGTGAAGATTAAAGTTTGTGAAAAAGTTCTCATGGTAATTTGAGGTGTCCCAGGTAAAAATTTGTATAGTAAAGAGACGGAGAGTTAAATGTTTTAAGTCTTACTTTGCCTCTTCATCATCAATAAACTTTTTGATCATGGCAGGGTTCAGCATTCGATCCAGCTTGGCCAGTGAGAAGAACTTGGTGTCACCATATAAAGAAACTGGCTCCTATTGGAGAAAAAAAAAAACCGGTGGCACGTCATATACATTATTAAGGGTGACACAATATTAATGAGTAACATGAAAACAATACAAACCTGCACTATTTCCATTTCTCCTCCAGTAGCAAAAACATCTCCATCATGATCACCAAAAAGAAGGAATCTCTTTACTGTTCCACATATCAAAGGTAGCGTTCTTTGTGTCCTTATCTATTCAAGGAGGACATTTGAAAAATACTCTTATTTAAACTTCTTTAAATCCTTTTGACCTGAAGGTATCTAGAGTATAACAGAAGAACAAACTGTGAACCATGTTTCTCAAACAAGGGCCTGTGTTTAGTGGCTCCTCCCTAGTTTATTTCTGAGGGGAGGGGATAGCTGAAAACAAGCGAACAGTACTCAAACAAAGGTCTGGAAGAACTTAACATAAATTATGTGTCCTCTAGAACCATCAAAGCACTTTTGAAATTCTATCAGTGAAGATAGAGGGACATGCTTATTACGTGTATACTTTACCACTACTTGGTCCTTTCTTCTTTTTAAAGTGCATTTTCTTGGGTAAAAATCCAGGTCATTTACTTGGTACTCACCAGCTGTCCTACTTTGAAGATCTTTCCATCCCATTCAATAGAGTTAAAAATGCACCAAGGACTTTGGTTTCGCTTCTGTGGCAGGTCGGTACGTTTTATTTGACCTTGAAACCCTAAGAACTTAACCTAAATTTCACGATCAGAAGTCAGTGGTAATAACAAGGATAAATAAATGATAAAAAAGCAAGGAAAAAAAAAAAACACTAAAAAAATAAAATAAGAGATGTTTTTCTTATTTACCTGTTTGTCATGATTTTCATGACATTCTCTGATCCAGTCATAAAATGCTCTTGAAATGTTGACTCTTTGCTCCTTAACACAGAAAATGTAGCAAATATTTAATTGATATAACAAGTTGCTGTAGTTATTATTTAAAACTTATTTAAATGAAATCTGTAATATACCTGTCCCAAAATGACCCTGCTGAAGATAGTGTTCTTGTCTTTAATTTTGACTTCCAGATCCATAAATGTCAGTTTGTTTGTGCTGACTTGAAATGCATCATTTGTCCACAAACAACCAGAAAATCTACAAATTCAAGTTAATGAAAATGTTCAAGTTTTCTACAATGTTATCTGGATATTAAGAAATTAAGCCTGTTGCCATATCATGAATAAATACTTAATTCTGATGACAGACACAAAACAGGAAATCAAAAGACAATAATTTTATTCAAGTTCAGAACTTTTAGTCATTAAGATAATAGCGGTCCAAATGAATTTGTATGCTTGGTATTTTTTTCACACCTTAGCACCATGACAGTGATCTCAATAGTTGAGTTGTAGACTCTGAAAGTGGTTAAGTAACCAAAGAACATATGGTCCCAAATGATATTCACCTGTGATAACATTCCAAGGGAATTGTCCACTTCTTTGGAGGCTGGCACCATTCAAGACTAGCCAAGATAATAAAATTAGGCATAAGAAAAGGAACTACTCTGTTGCTTGATGACAGCTAATCAACTTGTTAATGGCAAACTTACACATCGATACTAGTGTATGGAATGAGCCGTCCATTCCAGTAACACTCAAAAATTGGACGGCTTCCTCTGGGTGCTCTGCTATCCTTTTCCAATGGATCAGGGAGTTCTTCAGCAGTCTCAACAGCTGTTCAAAGAATGATACAGACCGAGCTTACATTCAATTGAAAGATATCGGTATGATCTAGAAGTAAACAACTGAAATATCAGAGTATTGATTGATCTTCACTGGAAAATTTTACCTGGAATTTCTCCTTCAAGAGTAGGGTAAGTTTCTCTGTCATAAAGAAATGGATGATAGCGCAGCACACCTTCAACCACTCCCCCTGATTCTGCACGAGCACGGAACTCAAACACAGAAGCTGCTGTCCTGATATACTGAGTCTGCATATCATCATCAATGTCTCTCAAGTGCATTCTCTTAGCCTGTTTACCTCTTTCAAATAGGATAACCTATGGGGAATGGTATCGAGCCCTGATCAATGTCTTTGTCCAAACTACCATATTCTAGCAACCTTAATTACTTTTTCCAATAAAACTTTAATTTCAAATTTTTCCAATTTATTTCTTTTTTTCAGAACAAAGACATCTTTTATATCATAACCTAAATAACAATGTATTAAGTTTGAAGTTTTATTTTATGAACTGTAACCCGGTGTGTGTTTCTATTCAGTTTGGTTTTGCAATGGTTACAGAATTTTGATTTCATTCGATTTTGTTGTTTCAGATTATAACAAGAGTAAGGCTCAGTGCTTTCAATAAGATTTGAAATAGGTGGCTACCTCGGTACAACATCCGCCGGAGAGCGACTTGATTGTGACTTAGCGTGGCGACTGCGACTTGAGTGCGGTGAAATACACCCGGTGACTCGCAACAGAATAGCCGCCGGAGCTCCGGCGGGTGCCAGGTCTTATTGAAAGCACTGAGGCTGCACAAGACAGTCCATCACCCACCTGTATATCAATATTCCTGAAAGGACTTGCAGTGGTTCCTCTTCCAACAGGCTTCTCATTTCCACGGGGACCATGTATGTAGTAGTGATAGATGTGCCTTAACAATATTAAGGACATGATAAGATTCACCAATTGATAATGAAATGAAAACCATGCAACTGAAGAAGTAAACACTCTGGTTTAACTAATATCTCAATCACTTAAATAAGTAAGCAATAAGAAAAAGGACTTACGCTAGTTGTCTACACCATTGTTTGAAATGTGTCTTCAAATAAAGAATATGTTCTGGTGCTATTCCCGTTATAACGACAGCAGTGAAGCTCTCCTTGTTACCCTCCTCCTCCACCAGGTTTTTAACACTTTCTTCATCATCTGGAATGTGTGCGTGATCTCCAGCCTAAAAGAATTTAATTTTACAACATCACATTAAATCAGGCTTTGCAGAACAATGGTTGGTCCTCTTTGAGTATTTGTGACCATACACGGGAAAACTTACTTTAATGTTTATCCGTTAAACAGGCAAAAACTAACAGGTAGTTAACGGCCTTGAAAGTGTTCTAACGTTTTGTCTTAACGATCTAACGGTCGGCATGTCATGGCTAACGGTCATTTAGAGTGTTCCAACGTTTCGCTCTGACGCTCTAACACCCTACTGATTTTGCCTTTTGCCTAATGGCTCATGAAAACTTTCTAATGCTTCCACAACTTGCTCTAACGCATGCCTGAAGCCGTTAACCATTAGCTTTGACATTCTAACGCCCTACTGATTTTGACTAACGGCTCATGAGGACTTTCTAACGCTTCCACAGCTTGTTTTATCACATGGCTGAGGCCATTAAAATCTAACACTTGCATCTGACGACTTAAGCGCGAGAAGCAGTAGATGCAGCTAGTCTGGTGTACCAAAAACGTTTTCACGAATTCCCGAATATCTCACAATAACCATCTTACACGATAGTAAACTCCACATCAGTCAAAATGTAGATTTCTCTAAAACAAAGTCGCGATCGTTGAATGTTTCAACCAAGGAGCGTTTGATTTTGAGCTTTTCCTTGCGGAAATATCTTCAAGGTGTGATCAGCACATCATGAAAATTTAATTTCAGAGCTATTTTACTATTTGATTAAGCAAATTATGCTCATTAGGTCCAATGATATAATCTTTTTCAGTTTTTCCTATGACACAACTAAAGATAATAAAACATCTCAAAATAATTTCACAGTAGTGTCTCAAGCACATGATTGAAACCAAGACTTTTCCTAGCAGAAGTATCTAAATAGGTTTGATCTGCGTATCATGGAAACTTTGAGGACAAACTTTATTTGAAGAGAGGACACTTTACCTTTACTATATTGTTATCATTAACAATTATTAGCCAAAGGCGAGGTGGATATTGTCAAATAATCCCTGATATGAAGTCCAGGGGATTATTCGACGATACTCACCAAACCTGAGGTGAATAACTGTTTTAGTATAATTTCAGAGCTGAACAGCAGAGAAATTTCTAAAATCATTACATTTTAGTAACATTTATTAACATTTTAATTTAGCATTGTATATAAACTGAGTGGAGCGGTTTATATAGTGTCATATAAGGAAGCTGCTCGACCAATCAGATTGCAGGAAACTCTTTGCTCAGCTCTGAAATTATACTAATTATCATTACTTTTATTGTTAATATGATTATTTGATACCATTTAATTAATAGTTGAGTGTCAATTAGTCTGTATATTATTGAATCATCTTTCTCTTATGATATAAGGTACAAGTGGGATGCGACAGGTTGTCCGTTTTGCATGTGAGATGAATCTTCTGGAGCACTACCTTCTGGCATCATTATACAACCTCTAGTTCTTTTCAATGCTATACAAACCATGCTGCATCAGTACTCATACGCAGTCTTAAACCTTAAATTGAATATTATACAGTCTGTTTGACTTACCCTCCTGTTGAGAATGGCACCACCATAAATGGATTGTTTCTTCTTTTCTCTTCTCTCAAATTCAGCTTGTGAAATACAAAGTTCATGGATATCATTGCAGTCTCTGGATTTGGTAATCATCTGAAAAACAAAAATTTCAAATCCTGAGTATGTGAAGTAACAAGAAAGTACAAACCAATGGTCGCCTGCCAAGCTTCAACACCTGTCCGTTATCAAATGTCTACGTGCTTTCTAAACAGCTAAGTTTATACATTACAGTCGTTGAGAGTATTTCATTATTTTCCACAGTGAAAATTCCATCCAGGAGAAAAAACAAAGATAAAATGCTTTCAAATATAAATCATTAGTACCAATTATCATATATCAATAGTTGTATATCCAATTTCAATGGTAGCATTAATCTTAGATTTTAACCTGACTCAGAATACTCATTCCAAGATATAGAGCAATTCTATACCTACTATTATAACAATTGTATCTCTATTATCACAAACAATGATAAAATGTTTAAGTACATACCCTTGTGGCATCTCCAATAAAGAATATGGCTTGTTTTCCACCAACACCAAAGTATGAAATGTCACTGTTTAAAGATCTTGGCACATCTCCTACACTGTGATATCAAAGATTTACAATGTTCATGTTACAATACCAAAAGGTATTAGTGATTGAAATTGAAATGAGCTTGCTGTTGAGTTGTTCAGTAACTTACACCTTCTTTCCAGTCTGGCGATTGAACTTTGATAACCTGTAAATGGCCCAGTTGTTGAGTTCTTTTGATGTCATGCCAGCTCCATTATCAAGGACACACACTACAGCTTTTCCAATAGAATCATCAAACATCTAGAGAAGAAAAAAGTACAGGGTGTAAGCGTTACCATTGCGTTATGCGTGATGTCACTGTGCGTGCGCAGTCAAGTCTAGAAAAAAAAGCATGGTTGGCGCGAGCGGTGCTCAAGCTTTATGTTAGCACGAAGTTATTTTGTAAGATTTCTGCCACCTTCAACGTTGTTCACCCAGAGTCGGGATAGAGGTACGTACTAGTTGTTGTTATCGTTTTCTTTGTTGTTAGGTTCGTTGATTGTCTGTCGCCTCAAATTAGTTTGTAGTTTCATGTTGTTTATAATCGCTCAATGACTCCTATTTATATTCACTATAAGGCAGTTAAGGACAGTTGGTCATTGTATCCTTTGTTTCAGTTTTTACATATTGGATCATTAAAGTTACCATAGTTGTGTACTCGTCGAGGTTTAATTGATGACTCCGATTCAGTCTGAAAATCTATCGCCATAACACAGGGCATCTATTATATATTATTAAAAACTGGATCATTGGATATTGCAATTCAAGACTTTTTATTGGCTCAGCCATTATGGTATATGACCCAATATACCATAATCTAATTTCTGTACATTGTTAAATCTGGTTTCTTCTCACAAAATAGAGTCGAGAAGATTTGTCTAATAGTTCGGGGGGCGTTTTTTTAATAAAACAATTATTCCACTCGCGTTTGTTGGATATGAGATGATTATAGCCAACGAGGCGCGTAGCGCCGAGTTGGCTATCTATCATCTCATATTCAACGCGCGCTCGTGGAATAATTGTTAAGTGTTTATCATACTAACTGTACATGTGTATGTTAAACATCATAAGCCAAAAGCCATACCAGTCTTATTTCAATTTCCCTTGATCCATTGTTTTCTGAAGTAGCTGCCATTGCATTGTCTACAAGTTCCGCAAAAGCAAATGCTGAAGTAGTGGGAAACAACAAGATGGGTTAAGAATGTTATTGGTAACTCAAACTCATTAACTGAAAAAAAATCCATTTCACTGCATTTGGCCGGAAAAAAAAAAAAATCCTAATTCCTTAACTAAAGATTGCTAGACTGTATAGGACCAAGGTAGATGTAAAATGGTCTTCCCAACATCTGTGTTCCAACCACTTAGTGTGTGGACCCAGCCTATATTATTACAATTATGATCAGCATGATCACAATTATTGCTGTCATTATCATTATTATTATCCTTTTTGCTATCTTTATCGTAGTTATTATTGTAGTTAACAAAAACTACAATAAAATATAATAATGAGAAAATGTAAGTACCACTGAAGATAGAGTCACTCTCTGACCCTAATGCACTTATCAGCGGCCATCCTGTGGGGGTGACCCTGGGGACATATGGGGAATAGCATGGGATTTGCTGACTTTTGTCACCAATTTTCGGCCCGGGACAGGGGCATTGGACTGCATTTGCAATTCCGAGGGAAGATACACAGGAAAAGACCCACAGGATTTGTCTCATCCCCGCCACCTTAAAAATAAAAGATCCGGACGACAGGGACTGCGTATTACCATTGAACAGCTTCCAATATGGCGACGGAGAAAAAGCTTGCACTATAAGCTATCTTTATTCCACAAAATAAAAAAACTAAAATCAATTTTTTTTCTCAGATTCATGATCATGTGCGAGAAACAAGGCAAAGCATGCAAGATATGGTACCATGGACCCTGCGTGAAGATTTTGAAAGCAAAATCAAAGAAAATAAAAAAATTTGTTTATTTCAATTGCAAGTAATTTGACAAGGCTCAAAATTGAGACCGACAGAGATATACAAAACATAGTATTTGTAGCTACTTTTTTCCAGTTAGTCGCCGGCAAAAAGCGACTTAGGATGTCTCTCACTATGCACCCTGTGTAGCCCTGGGTACTAAACACAGGCAGAAGTAAGTGATTGTTCGTGGTAATTAAAATTCTTTCGAAACATTGCACCCTTTGACCTAGCAGAGCACACTTCTTTGCACCCAGGGGGAGGGGCATTGGTAGCTTTTTGTTGAACAATCTTAGTTTTGAGTAGGGGGATTGGTAAATGCCACTGTGCAAATGCCCGGGGGTTCCCCAGGGTCACCATCCCCGGGATGGCCGCTGATAAGTGCACAACTCAAAGGCTGTAAAAGGAATTATCAATATGTTGATCGTACTCACGTAAAGGGTTTTGTCCTTCACTGGCATAATATTCATACATGCCACTCTTGACCAAAGTGTCATAATGGGGTATATATTCCACCCTCTCTTCAGTTGGAGCACTCAGTTCTTGGTCAGACGATTTCAAGATATACAGGGTTTCATTACCGTCAACCAACTCTTCTGTCAAATGACAAAATTTAGCGGAAAAATATATGAACACATGACAGCCTACATTTTAAAATAAGCATCACAGCTTAATGCTTCGACACCAAGCTCCTCTAAAAAAAGTTCAAAAAAATTTGAAGTTTATTCTGAAACACATGATCTTCATTCAAGATATTTAGTGTTGCCATACCATAAGTCTTGTCATCCAGGATTTCCTGTCGATTTGTTGTCACTATCACAAATGTTTCATTTTCTGGGATATTGAAAGCCTGTAACATACATTTAAATGTTTTAAATAGCAACAGGTTGCCTTCGAAGAAATGAATTTCAACAGCAAAAGAATACTCTCAAAAAACTTTAAGAGTTCAACAACTTTAACTTACTATTCGGGTCTTTTCTTTAAAAGTGTTAAAATTGAATATGCCGCCTAACTGAACCTTCTCCTCCGGCCTGCTGCCAGCTCTACGATCATAAATAAAAACGGCGGCATCCTCTTCACTTTGCTCAGAAGATGAAGCATCGTCTTTATTTGACGATTTCATGTCCTCGCCGGAAAACTTCAAACAAGGATTATAACTTCAGTACAAAGTTAGTGCTCACGAGTACCACACGCTTCCAAAACACTGCTGCAGAGTTATTTAATATAACGATCTTTCCAATTGGAAGAACAATCTATATCCAAATTTGGAACCTTTTATCCAATCAGAGCATGCCTAATAAGAGGTAAGCGTTGACAGGTCCCGGATAACAAATAAGCGTGACAGAAAGATTTTGAAGTAAGGTTAGATAATAAAATAATTAATAAAGCCATGGAGTAGACGTTTTTTATCTTCTTAGCTTAAATCGTATGTTAATCTTAATAAGATAAATGATATAAAGTAAAGCTAATTTTTGGTCTAAATTATATTTATGATTACTAACTTAAAAATATAATGCAGCCCCTCAGATAATATGGACGACGAGCAAAAAACAAAAAGAAAAAAAACAAGAAAAAAAATTGGTTGAGAGATACAAATCTCTTTCCACAAATCTCTTTTTCTTTCCAGTGTTTGCGTGACTTTGTGAAGAAGGAGGGAAACTGGATCGACTGTATAAGTTCCCACGTGACCTGCTGTTCCTTCTCTCCGCCATATTGAATTTCGTGAACAAAAGTTCGTTCAACGTGGCGTCCTTCAATTTGTAAATTTTACAAATTGTAAGAACTCTGCTTTGTAGTTTTCCTTTTATCCTGAGACTTAAACACTCACGGGTAAGATGAAGCTACAAGAGAGCGGCTTCCAAGTGCCATCTTTTCTCCCTCGGTTATCGTACGAGAAGCAGGACACCTTACTTAAACTCCTCATACTGTCCATTTGTGCTGTTTTGTGTGAGTGCAAAGATTGGTGATGCGATATATAAAATCGAATGGTTGATCTAGTCCTGCAGTTTATTGGCTGTTAATTAATCCTCGATCGAATATTTTATCGTGGTCATGTTATTGGAGAATATTTTAAAATTGCTATTCAAATGGTACACAACTATTATATTGTTACGCTGGCTGAGTTAATACGAGCTTAAAAAATTTAGGCTCGACAATTATTCATTATATGAAGCTGTACCTATCTCAAGATTTTTAATGTGTTTGTTTGATTATCTTAAACTAAATTGCTATTCAAAAGGTACACGACTATTATTGTTACGTTGGCTGAGTTAACTTATATGAGCTTAAAAAATTCAGGCTCGACAATTAGTCATTATATGAAGCTGTACCTATCTCAAGATGTAATGTGTTGGTTTGATTATTTTAAACTAAGTTATAGAAATACTGTTTCAGTTTTAAAAGCCACAGAACGCATTATATAAATGTCATTCTTGATTGTCCGATAAGTAAGAAAGTAGGCTAATTAACTTGAAATGTGATTATGCTCCTTAATTAACGTGAAATTGTGGTGTGCTCCTGCGTTCATTTTTTTGTCCTTCCTGTCTACAGCATTTTCCACAAGGTTGTTCTCTGTGTTGCGGTTTGAAAGTGTTATTCACGAATTTGATCCGTAAGTTCTTTTTTTCGATAGTCTTTTCGTAACTACTCGTGAAACAAAGAAGTTGTTACAGTGAGGTGATTGTTTGCTCAACTGAAAATGTAGAGGGTTTTGTTCTCATCTCAAGTCCTCTCGGTCTTCGCTTTTCACCACGAGAAAGAGTAAGATTTGGTAGCAATTTGCTGAGTTAAGGATTGACTCTAGTATTTGTACTGCAGTAATACTGACATACAAATTTTAATCCTAAACCGTCCCCTGTGAAATGAACACTATTTCATATTTAAAGTCTGTTGAAATCTGCTTAAAAAATTGTTTGTTTCTTTAATTAGAATAATTCTTAATTTTTATCTTTTTTTTCCCATTTTTAACCTGTGGTACATGTTTTATTTTTGTTGTTCTTTTTTTTCAATGAAAAGCCTTTTACATATTTTGGACTTCTTTTTTCAAGTCCCATCTGGGGCTTGGATTTTTCTATTACACTAAAAATTGTTTCATCTTTTTTTATAGAACTTTAAATTAAAAGGGTCTGAAGGATTTGGTTGATTTATAAACAAGAGTGTCAGGGCTTACTTAATAAGCTCCTCTCTTCTTTTGCAGGTACTTTAATTATAGAACCACAAGGTTTTTAGCTGAAGAAGGATTTTACAAATTTCACAACTGGTTTGACGATAGAGCATGGTATCCATTGGGTAGAATTATTGGTGGCACAATATATCCAGGTAATATGGTCTATCAAAATAAACTCTGCAAATTCTGTCAGGCACATTGCAGTTAGAGGAGGGTGCCATTAAATGTCTACAAGATTGAATTAACAGATTTATTTTTATTCTTGCAGGACTCATGGTGACATCAGCCATCTTGTATCACTTCATGAATTTCTTTCACGTCACAATTGACATCAGAAATGTTTGTGTTTTTCTTGCTCCTTTGTTTTCTTCACTGACCACCCTTGTCACTTATCATTTGACTAAAGAACTCAAGGTACGTGATGTAGTTCTACTGTGTTTAGCTGGCCTGTCTTGCTACTTTCTATTTGTCACTTTTGTTTATTAACTGTACTTAGTTCTTGTTATTGTTTTCAGGGTATCTTGCTCTAACAGTTGCAAGACATGTTTTTAAAGTAATTTTATAGCAAGAAAAGTTTCAAGTAACATCAAATTTAAGTTTGCAATTTGGAGTTGGGGTCTGAAAAGATGTCTTTCCAGATGAATTAATTTCTTCTCTTAAAGGGAAGGTTAAAAAAATGTCCAATGATTAAGTGGAATCCTTTCTGGCTCTTTTGCTCAACAGTGATGTATAAAACTTCCTCATTTTTTGTGAGGTTCCTTTACATTGGGTTAATCCTAACTGCTGTTTTTAGCTATCTCTCAAGACTTAAATATATATATATATATATATATATATATCTTATTAACCAAGCGTTAGGGCCATACTGGGAGAATATTGGTCCGAGGTCTTGACAGTACGGACCGAGTGCAGTGAGGTCCGTACAAAAAAGACCGAGGGCCGATATTCTTCCAGTACAGTCCCGAACAAGCTTGTTTAATAAGAGATTTATTATACGACTGAAGTTCAAAGGGACACAAGTGCGGTATCATTCGGGACCATTCAGGACAGTGCCCGGTCCAATACTGAGAGAATATTGACCGGCAATAGAGCATTTTGATTGGTTGATTTTAGTTATTGGCCCTCTGACTACCCGAGTCGTGTAATAATATTTTGTATTTGTTTACAGGATGCTGGGGCAGGATTAGTAGCAGCAGCCATGATCTCCATTGTTCCAGGTACAATAGACCATTTCAAGGTTATGGGCGCCATTTTGCCGGGGGTGCAGAACTGTTGGGGCGAGCACAAAATGTACAGTTAATGTATAGAAAAAGTCGAGAGATTGATGCTTGATAATTTGAGGAAGGTTGACATTGTGCAATTTCTATGAATTACAAACTAAAGATACCAGTTTATCTATCAAATTTAAGAAATGAAGTGTCACAAAAAAGCCGCAAATTAAGATTTTGATTTTCCCTATATTTGTCTGTAAGACCAAGCCACCATTCGTAGGAAAATTTAAAAGCATTTGTATAAAAAACTAAACTTCTCAGTGAGCCTGAACCCTTCACATTTAATCGGCAACATCCTTTGCTAGGTATCTTTACTTCATAATTTATAGAAATTGCAAAATGACAACCTTCTTCAAATTATCGAGCATCAATCTCCTGACTTTTTCCATACATTCACTGTACATTTTGTGCTCGCCCCAGCAGTTGTGCCCCTGGCAAAATAGTTCCGGTAACCTTGAAACGGTCTATAGCTTCTGTTGTGCTTTGTAAAAAAAAACTTCTAGATTTTGGAATCACTTTAAAATCAAAGAAACATGACAGGCATTAAGAATTATTCCTTTTGATAATTATTTTATTGCTTTCTTTTCAGGTTACATTTCTCGATCAGTTGCTGGGTCGTATGATAATGAAGGTATTGCCATCTTTTGCATGTTGCTTACTTATGCATTGTGGATTAAGTCTGTGAAGACTGGCTCACTGTTCTGGTCAACCATGTGTGCTTTGGCTTATTTCTACATGGTGAGTAAACTAAGTGTAACTTTTGTAATAATCATTTATCTACTATTAGCATTATCAATGTATAACAATCATTTTTCTCCTATTTGTATTATCTATATGTAATGTGAGAGGTGCATGTACATGTATGCGTTGAAAATTGGTGTCTCTGATGGTTTCCAGGCACTTATTTTCATTCCTGGAAGCAAAATCCTAGAACCCACAACAAAGCATATCATTAATTATTACAAAACAGTAGACTGAGTTTTTTTTTTTTTTTTCAATTTGTATTTTTCAGGTTTCCTCCTGGGGTGGCTACGTGTTTCTTATCAACTTGATTCCGCTGCATGTTTTGGCACTGATGATTACTGGCAGGTTTTCACACAGGATCTATGTTGCCTACTGCTCGGTAAGGACCTACAGTAATGTATTTCAGGTGTATCACCGTAAAATGGCCATTAACATATATTCATATGATCAGCTTAGGGAACACCATTTAATGATTTATATCACCATATCTAACCCTGCTGTTAATCTTGAATCAAAAGTAAAACATTTCCACTCTGAAGTTAGTTGTTTGCTTATAATTTTGGCAGTTGAGCATTAATATTATATAGTAATACAGACTTCCTCCACCTCCCACTCCCCCCCCCTCCTCTTTTTATTTGTATGCATCAGAATTTTTCATGTGATGACAGTGATGGATGTATTTTCTTTTCCCATTTCAGGTTTACTGTTTGGGAACCATTTTGTCGATGCAGATCTCATTTGTTGGATTCCAGCCTGTTCAATCCAGTGAGCACATGGCGGTAAGTATTTTTGGTTTTGTTCTGTTTTATCTGTAATGGCCTTTGCCTCTAATTCCATGCATTTTGTCTTTCCATGTGCAGGCCTTTGGTGTGTTTGGTCTGTGCCAGATTCATGCCTTTGTGGACTATGTCCGTGCACGCATGCCTAAAGAACACTTTCAACTATTGTTCAAAAGCGTTGTGCTGGTAGCAGCAGTCAGTGTCTCAACTGTTGGTGGCATACTCACATTCACTGGCAAAATCTCACCTTGGACTGGTAGATTTTACTCCTTGTTGGATCCATCTTATGCAAAGAACAACATTCCCATCATTGCTTCAGTTTCTGAACATCAACCTACAACATGGTCCTCATTTTACTTTGATTTGCAATTGATGGTGTTCATGTTTCCAGTTGGACTCTACTATTGTTTCTTTAAACTCACTGATGCCAACATCTTTATCATTATGTATGGAGTTACAAGCATCTACTTTGCAGTAAGTGGAGACATCCTGACCTGTACAATAAGATATGTACATCTTTTCATTACTAGCTCATATGTTAGGAGTCATAAGTCTATTTAAGATCACTCTTGCATTTCAAACTCTTAAAACTTTCACTGGGTGCACTCGGCCTGTGAATAGTTCAGTCAAACCAGTCTTTTTGTGAAGGTTACGTGTCTTTACATCATTTCCATACTTTCTCACTGTGTTTTCCCAGTCTCTCTAACTGCTGTATGTTACTGTTTTCAGGGAGTTATGGTTCGTCTAATGTTGGTGTTGGCTCCAGTGGCTTGCATTCTCTCAGGAATCAGTGTGTCTACAATCCTCACCACTTACATGAAGGTAATTATAGTGAATGTCCAAAACAGCATACAGCACTTAAATTCTTCAGGGTTTGTTTGTTTTTTTTTTTAGTTTGAATCATGTTCTCATGCTAAGTATTAGAAAGCTTCTCACAGTCATTCTACTTCTCAATGTTTTCAAGAATTTAGATGTTTCCCGCCGTGACCGTAAAACTACAAAGAAAATGGACCCAACATATCCAATCAAGAATGAAGTAGCTACAGCTATGGTCGGCCTTATGTCCTTACTACTCATAACTTACACATTCCATTGTACCTGGGTCACTTCAGAAGCTTATTCTTCACCCTCAATTGTACTCTCAGCCAAACAACATGATGGCTCCCGTGTTATCTTTGATGATTTCCGAGAAGCTTACTACTGGCTCAGACAAAACACTCCAGAGGTAATGTATCTTTCAGTTTATTGTCAGTTGGATAACAGTAGTAGCAACCAGGTTTGGAATGTGTATCATAGTAGTGCTGGTATTAAATCAGCATCTAATATATTTGTTGTTGTGTTTGTTTCAGGATGCAAAAGTGATGTCTTGGTGGGATTATGGTTATCAAATTACTGCTATGGCCAATCGAACTATACTAGTAGACAATAACACCTGGAACAACACACACATCTCCAGGGTGGGGCAGGTATGTTAAAAAATCTACTATTATTTAATAGTCAATCAATTCACAAAATTGGATAATAAGACATGGAACAAAACACATCTCCAGGGTGGGGCTGGTATGTTGATATCCTGGTCCATTTCTAGTACCTATAATCCTGTTCAGCATGGTTTTTAGGTCTCGCTTGTGGACAACATCAATGCCTTCAATCATGTTTTTCAACTGATTTCCATTTGTGTTCATCATTTGGTCAGTAAGTTGAAGGCAACACTTAAACTGCTAGCTTGAACTGATACCAGATTAAGTTTAACAGGGGAACTTTTCATGAATGAAATCTTGTAATATTAGAAATGTTGACTGAGTCATTCTTTCTACTTGGTTGGCCTGGAATTTTGAGTTCTTAATGGATTCTTCTGGCTCTGAACTCTCCAAGTGTTCAACCTTATCTATGATTATTATCATTATTAAAATGTATTTGGAAGCAGTTATTCTGCACTTTTTCCCAGCAAAATGGCTTTGGAACAGCTAATTGAGTTCTGTTTGTGAATCAGCAGCCTTTCTTTTTGAGTTTGGGTTGGTCCAAATTTGAATCTAGTTCAGTATATGAAAAGTTTCGTGTCTTGATAGGGCCTTGGTGTTCAAATAATTGCCAAATTAATTTTGTGAGGTCTTGTAGTTAATGTAAAGTGATCAGTGAAATTGTTATGGAACATTGCAGGCCATGGCATCAAGTGAGGACAGAGCGTACGAGATCATGAGAGAACTGGATGTGAATTATGTGTTGGTCATTTTTGGTGGTTTAACTGGTTATGCATCAGATGGTGAGAGTGCAGAGAATTCTTTGTCTTCATAACACAATTTTAATTGGTAGTGCAATAAATGAATGAGAATTTTAAAATTTTATTTCTTCCTTTGTGGCATCATTTTCGCTCTGCTTTGGTGTATTATGTACACTCTTGGAACAACTGGATAATTTATTTGATGGTGGCCTGTTTTTTTTTCTTTCATGATTTGTTTTTTTTTTTATTGAAGTAACTGTTTTTCATGTCTTAGATATCAACAAGTTCCTGTGGATGGTCCGTATTGGAGGCAGTACTGAAAAAGGTCGGCACATCAAGGAACATGATTACTATACACCAACTGGAGAGTTCCGTGTTGACAGGGATGGTTCCCAGGTCCTGCTCAACTGTCTTATGTACAAGATGTGCTACTACCGATTTGGTTCTGTTTATACAGAGCAGGGTAAGTACCTACATTTATTATCCAACTACACTCTAGAGTACGAATAATGCCCAAGACGAGTACAAACATCAGGTTGTATTTGTACTCTAGAGAACTGGTTGGACAAGTTTTCTTGTATTGTGCAAGTGATGAGTTGGATTGAAGGTACAAAAAAGTGACGGACAAGTTACATCATTTTTCTGATGGCGAAGAGTCAGAATGGCCGACAAATAATTATTGATCCAAGTTTATTAGATAAATCGAACAAAGAAAAGCAGTTAGATAACAACGATATTTCATCATTTATCAAAGAAAATAGAAACCGCAGCACAACAATGAGCGAATTCTGTTCTGCTTCACATACTTCTGTCATGCACTGCCTGGAAATAAATATCTGCAAAATTTTCCCACACTGAAGTAATAATTGGG